GAACAGTGTAAGCGTTCAAGCAAACCACTTCTGAAGATGCAAGCCACTCGTGCTTGCGAAACGTCAAGAAGAAATTCTACCGAACGACGGCCTAACAACCCGAAAAACCCATTAGTTTCAAGAAATGGCCTCGGAAGTCTATCTCTTTTTCTACTGCAAAGTTTGGACAATAATGAGAAACCGTCTTCGGCCGCTTGCCCGAGAAATGTTTTTCACACAGTCGTTTTACAGCAGTTCAGCCAGAACTGGCAAATGGTAAAACCTGGTTTGTTCAAGAAATGAGCTACACATTGAGCATTGCAAAGTGGAACAAACCGCACAATTACAGGAAACGTTTAAACCGAACAAAAAGACGGACCGTAGAATTGAATTTGCCGACAGTGGTTTCAATTGTGCCGCTTATTCATAAGGGAGGCAAAATGGGGGGACAAAACCGCTTTTATTGCGGAGAACACCGTTTTCATTAGGCAGCTACAATGAATGCAAATTAAATTCGGAGATTTTATATGTGTAGACCCAACGAAAAAAAAAGAAACATTGTTTTTCGGTTGTCCATCTATAGAGAAAAAGCTCGAAGTGCTTGCACATCAAAGAAGATCGAATTCCAGTTCATTCCAGGCAACAGGCTCAAAACCCCATCAACTCAATTGAAATTCGCCAGTTTTTCGCATTTTCGGAACAACCGGCCACCTAAAAATACCTCACCAAAGGAAACCAGCCTTTACATACATATTTCGTGAAAGCTCTTGAAAGAGCACGAAACCCGTAAACGAAGCAAACCAATAAATATGCTGAACTGTACTTATTGATGGCTCTACTGGTCCCGATATAGAACAGAAACGTGTCTGGGCATGCCAACGCCTTTTTTAAACGAATTGTTTTCAAACGAGCTGATTGATTCGAGCAGATTGTGGCAAAAGAATGGCCTCTTTGCTTAAAACTGATTAGTTTAGGCGTTTCACTAGCACGAGTTGCTTGCATCCTCAGAGATGGTTTCAAGCCTGGCAACGAAACACTCATCAGCTTGTAATTTATGTCCGAAAAAAAATTCGCCAGATTTTTCTAGCAATAAATGCCCAGAGAAATTAACACGCATGCACCTGCCCCTGTTATTTTTCCTGGATTATCTAATTAAAACAATACATTGGAATCGCGCGGTCGGGAAATAAACAGCCGAGAGCAAGAAGTAATTTTAACCGACTGTAAAAATAATCATTAGAGCCGAGAGATAATTAGGAATTTGGCACGCACCATCATCAAACTGGCATTTATTTATTTTGTTGATGAAAATTGCCGCAAATCCGCTTTGGCAATTTATCGAGTGAAAACACTAGACAAAACTAATTTTTTACGAATTAAATTCCGATGTTCCCGACAATATGGTTGAAAAAACAGACTTTAAATAAATACTGAACTCCAGTATTGTGAAAGTGCCCTGGACGTTCCACACATTTAAATGATATGTTCTTGTTAAAAGCTCGTTTAGAGTGCTCAGTGAAAGAATCTTTTCTTAATCTCGTTCGCTGTCTTTTGGGTCACAAGCTCGGGGAATTTTAAACATGCTCTAGTTTTTCGGTACATTCATTGTTGCTTCTCTGATTGCCAACAATAAACGGTTCTTGCCTGAAGAAAAATTTTGTATTCCCCACTAAACTCAGCCATTGGAAAAAAGTTCCAAATCGCAAAATCACGCTTTCTTTTAATGCTAATTCCGTGTCCGAGGCGAAAGTTTTTCCCCATTTTCGCTCTTTTAACTTTCGCAGTGAGTTTAGAAATTAACTCGCAATACATTGTAGCGAAAGGAGTTGAACTTTCGTGATAAATGGATGAATGAGTACGGGGGCTTTTCCCACCCAGCAGCGGAATATTTAATTAGAGTATCCAAGCGCAGGAGTTTTTCTTTTCGTAATTAAAAAGTTTCGGACAATGTCTGGTGCGGATGAATCTAAAGACTCTTTCTTAGGCGAGTGCCACTGAAAGGCCATGGATGCGATTAATCAATCAAAGTTGATGAAAACGATTATGCAGGAAATTTAGCAATTTGCGCCATTGAACAAGTTGAGCTGGCATTTAAGTTCGGGCGATTTTTCCAAAAAAAATTGAATAAATCAGCCGAGAAAAATATGCAAATAAGAGTGAAATTTATCCATGTCTTATTCAGCTTAAAAGAGCGGAAAAATTGGAATTCCCGGATACAATTTAAAACTTGGGCGAGTATTCAAGCATTCCTAAATCGAGCTTACAGCGAAAGTCGAACCAACAGTTGCCCAAATTTCTAATTTTCATTTTTTGGCGATCATAAGCGACGAAGGGAAAAACTACTTACTGTATGGTTGTGGTCGAGATCCATAATGGGGCTCTTGAAGCAGAGGCTGTGGCCGTCCATTTGTGTTTTCCTTAACTGAAACCGGAAGAAAAACGGGTCAAACTAACGACTATACAGCGACTAATCAACGAGAATTTTGCATTCATTTTCCAGAGCTTTAGTTAGATAATAGGAAAAAGCTAAACATATTTGAAGTAGTTCGTCCACCGATTTTCTGGTTCTAAACCACTGGATGCGCGAGTTGATCGCCGCAGAACGCAGTGGGTTGGACTGTTGACGACGTGGTCAAAATCAGAAAAAGGTTCTTAACAAATAACTGTTTAATTTCCAAACTTGACCACGCTGCCAACAGGCCAGACCACTGCGCCCTGTGAACATCTACACAGACACACCAGTGGTTTCAAACGAGAATTTGGCCGGTCAAGCGTTGAACTGAGCAAAGAAAAGTTAATGAAGGAGAAACAAAATGTATACATGTATGCATACAACTACGCATATTTTACAACAAATTTTACTAAATCTTGCTGCCACATTGCTTATAAAAGCACATTTCTAGATCGATGACGGTATAAAACAGCTTCCCGAGCACTCCAGGCCTGATAAAGTGGCAAACGCCGCCAAACCAGCCAAAGCGATACGGAAATGACAAAGTGCAAAAATAGGCAAATCGCGAAAACTTTCATGCAGATTTCCGGACGACAAAACCGGAAATATGCATTCAACATTCGTCTGGAAATTCGCTTAAAGCGACAATAAGTTGATGCAGCGTATTCCACTTAAAATCGCGCAGACAGTAAATCATCCAGAGCTCGACCTAAACACTTAAACGGCTTGCAATCTCGAAACAAATCCTCAACTTTGGGCGGTAAAGAGCAGCATTGTTCAGCCTCAAGTTACTCGGGCTCGACAATTAGTGCCCCATGGCGAGAGCTTTTTGAGCCGATTTTTCCTGCAAATTTACATTTAAATAGCCGGAAGCCACCGAGTTTTACTGCCAACTATTTGCTTTACTCTAGAAATGAAAGTTTCCCAAGCTTTTCGCGACTACCGGCCGTACATACAGACAATTCGCTTCGTAACCGTATACAGGTTGTGGTGTTTTTTTTGCGTATCGACGTTCGAAAGCAATTACCAAAAGAAAAGCTTCTTGCGTGGCACAATACGTCACATTTGACATAACGCTTCATCGGATTCTGCTTTGCGGCGTCGTTCCGATCCTCTTTCGAGTTGTTTTCCCCGGATTTCCGGAGACGATAATGCCAAAACAGGACAGGAACGCTCGATTTTGCCAGGCAAAACCGATCCAGAACTCTATTTTCAAGGGAAGAGATCCAGCAGTGAATTAATGCGCCTTTGTCACGCAAACCAAATGGTATTAATGTGTTTAGTGCTGACAAGTCTTCAGCTTAATGTGCCTAATAACTCAACACATCATTTAGTTGAGTGGATTTTCGCACTGTACAAAGACCCAACACGAAAGTGTTTGTTCAGCGTTGAAACACTGAAGTCAAAGCTATTGAAATTGGGGGGCTTTTGTTCTTTTGGTCACGTTGCTGAAACTGGCAAAAGTTTCAATGTTGAGAAGGCGCAGCTCACTACACTTAACACCCAATAAACATAAATTTTCTACTTACTTATTTTTACCCAAAGTTTTGATGCTCCCAACCACTGGGTGAATCTGCTCTGATTCTCTAGCCGCTCAACACAGTGGGTTGGACAGATGAAAGCAAAGGACCAAACCCCAAAAACCAAGTGTGAACTTTATACAAATCCGCGCACAAACCAAAATACATTGAACATCGACCCAAAGCACTCCCCTAATTGCCAAAATGTCGCCTTAGTACGCTATAAAATATGTGAAAATTCAGGCGATAGCGATCAGCTTGCACACATACATAAAGTTATCCTTTGTCCCGTCGAATTTAATGAAAATTGAAACGGATAATGTATGATGATCAGGCAGGCGGGAGTTTTAATTATACCCCATTTGCTACAGCTTGAACATGAAACAACTCCGAACTGGCTACATCTCAGCTTTCAAACCGGTGAGTTTCTGGGGCGTTTATGCCGAATTTCAAATTTGTTCCCGACGTTTCGCATGCACGAATGACTTGCATCTTCAGAAGCGCTTTTCTGGGCGCAGCAATCAATCTCCTGTTTCGAAGTTGAGCACTGTCCAAACGAGTAAAAGGCAATCGCGACGAAAACCTAACTTTAGTCCGCCTTGCGAAAGAAATACTCGCTTCTAATATGAAGAAGCTGCAATTAAAGCAACAGCTCGTTTCGAAAAGCTGCATCATTCCAAAGCGAACTTCTTAATTAAGCGCACGGAAAACTACTTCCGGTGTAAAAAGACGAGAGCGCCCAAGAGGGATTAGAGCTTAATATGGATTATCTGCGCTCAGCAACATTAAGACCAGATTTATATTCGAAACTAGCAAAATATTCTGTGTTTGCGAGTAATCCGTTAAGAAGAAACACTTGACTAGCAGTGATACAAATAATGCGACAACTGTGTTTAAACTAAACAAATGCGGGAAACTTTCTTGCAGGAAAATGGTTAAAGTCGAGCCAGCTCGACAAACAATTCGGACCGTTGGCAGAAAACGAAATTTCGAAAAACCCCTAATCCGAAGGATGAGAGGAAATTGCTGTTTGCTCAGCACTTTAAGCGGGACAATTTAAATTTTATTATACCGCCTAAAGCGCCGTTGTTGAATCTCAACTTCTATATGTAGAAAACGGCAATTTCAGACCCAATGAAATTAAACAAAGACCGTTGTTTTTTTAATAAACAAATTAATTTTTAATTAATGTTCTCCATCGCCGACTACGTTTACGCCCACTAAAAGCTGTCAAATAAATACCAGGCCAGCATTTATATAAACGTTTAATGACGAGTTTAAAATGGACGTCACTCAAGTGACCACATCAGCCTGTTGGTCATAATGTTTTATCTCAAGCATGAAACGCAACGTTCTGGGGAAATTGCGAAACAATTGGTGAGCACAGTTACGTAGAAAATATGGCTGGAAGACGTAAAATGCCATTTAAGGAAAAATCCGCTTAACCCTCCGAGTGTTATTTAAGTTTAAAACAACTAAATTCGATTAAATTTGGGCGTTGTTCGCGTTTATCGGCCCAATTTGATGCTCCATTTGGTATAAATACGCGTTTCATTTTAACATGCCCATAAAAACGGCTTTTTTGCCCATTTTACTACCAGTATGACCCAGTTATTAATATTTATCGGCAACAATGACCGTTAATGGGGGTATAACTTATTTCAATACTAAAGCACTCCCTAAACTTTCATGACTTGACCAGAGCATTCAAGAGTCCAACCCACTGTAATGATCTTATGGACATGTGAGGACCAGCGCAGTGGTTTGTACTATCGAAATTAATGGACAAAGTGCGCGACTGTTGACTAATCTAGAAAAAATGTATGTGTGAAAAAAACGAGTTTTGACGCGAAACTCATAACTGGAATTCTTCAGAAAATCGTCACTATTTTTAAAGCTTAGAGTTGGTTGGCATTTTTTCGCTCAAATCCTTGACAGAATCTGCGCTAAACACCACGTACCACTTTCATAATGTGTCACATAAGCGATAAAAGCGGAAAATCGGGGAAATTTCGTGTGCAGCGAACGAGAACAGTATCGTAAAGATAACGGAGCCACATCATATGATTGACGGGACCCCAGACACTAAACAGTTTTCGGATAAGACTCGAATTACGCCATGCTGCAACTATAAAGAGTAATGAAAGATATCATCTCTAATACTGACTGGTAAATGCAGCTTTTGCACTCTAGATGGGAAAAACGACAGCGATGCTTGAGTGAGGCGACTACTTTTGCATCGGGGGAGTTAAGAATCCACAAAATATCCCCCGAAGTGCACAAATAAACCAATCTTTTCCATATTACGAATGTGTGGTTCTTTTATGGACGTTGTTCAAGCATGATAACAAGATTCAGTTGGCAAACAAGCGAAACAAAGACACATTTAAATAAAATTGGTCGGTTTACATATTCAAATGCAAAACAGCGCGGAAACGGGAGCACAATCGGTGCGAATTATCATAAAAGATCACATTTTATTCAGGCGAAAAAACGTCCAGAAGCTCAACAGTTTTGCCGAGTTTCGGAAATTTGCCGGCCACTTTGCATAAAAACGCCCAAACCCCCCCCTGTCTCAGCTTTCAAGGGCTAATTAGAAAACGTTTGAGAAATTGCCGGCGTTTTCATTCGAAATCCTAAACTAGTTTGCCTGATAGGGAACAAATGGTCCATTTTTTCCCTGCCTGGAATCGTTATCCCAAATTGCAACCTTAGCTCGAGATATCTCGGTTTATTGCTTGCCAGATTTGGCCCCAAACCTATAAAGACGTTCAACGTTTCTCGCTTATAATCGTTTTCAGCTGACAAGAAGCTAGTTAAAGCTACATGATAGGGATTTGGTGGAACTTCGCTATTACGGCTCCAACATCGTGAAGAACATTAGTGACGTTCCAGACGTTTCGTAAGCACGACTTAGAAAAATATAACTTACAGGAAATGATCGTGGAAAACCATAAAAACCTCCAGTTGATACTTCCACCGGTTTATGACTTTATTTTAAAAAATTGCCAAAACACACCCTTAAGTCGTACAAAAATGAACATCACAGAAGTTGGAAGCGCAATTATCCTTCATAGTCGTAAAAAAGCTCCACTCAATTTTTGCACCCGTATGACCAGTACGGGACATTGAAACAATAGAACAAATAAAATCACTAACATAAAAAAATTGCCCTAACTTAACTAAAGTATAAAGCAAATCATCCTACATAGCGGTAAAAAACTGTTTTTACTGGTTTGGAAGTACGGGACTTTGCAATATGAGTGGAAGAGTCATGCGGGCCATAAAAGCCTCGACTTTCCAAAATTGCCGAAAACTCATGCCGAAAAGCAATCCGTTCAGACATAAAAGAAATTGAAGTCAATATTTGCCCCCGTTTGAGAAACCCGCAAAATAAAAAAAAAATGAGCGACAGAATTAAAATCGCATTAAAACATCGAATTTAAAAAC